TGGTCTGGGCAGCAAAGATCATACACCATGAATAAATGATAATTGAGGTGGATTTCTATTTTGTGGCGAGGTATCAATTGTCATAATTTTAATTACAGAATACAGCTTTCAAATAATTGACAAATAATGCAGAGTGAAAATGTGAAGATTAGTTTACTTGGTGCGTTCTAAGCATCTGGAATTGTCTGAACGGCAGGTGGATGCAGATTCACCAGTTATTCTCCAAAGATATTGAGAATTAGAAATAGAGATAATCGCCATATGTACTCAAATGTACGAGTGCACAAGTACAGTGAAAAGTGTACAAAGCCGCCATTTTCCAGCGCCACATTGCTTACAAAATCACAATTTTTTTAAAAGATAAAAATATTAGAAATGTTACTTTTTGAGGAAAGATTTGGAGGGCTTTGAGCAAATGGAAAGAGAGTTGGGAGAGCTTAATGGCATCTCCAAAGGGAGTGGTCACAGGTTCACTCGACTGAATAGCCAGCAGCAATGTGCTGTGTGCACCATTCACTAGGAATGATGACGCTCATCCCAGGGCAGAGAGAGGGAGGATCCCGCCACTCATCTCACAAAGGGGCCCGGCTGATTGACGGCAGCTCACCGACTGGGAGACGGAGAGTGGGCGGAGCTGTCGGACCAAGCGTAGAAGGCTGGTCTCAGACTTTTTCAGAGAGCAAGAACTGCAGATGCTGGAGTCAGAGACAACACAGTTTGGAGCTGGAGGAACACAGCAGGCCAGGCAGCATAGAGGAGCAGGAAAGTTGACGTTTCGGGTCGGGACCCTTCTTGACAAATGGGGAGGAGAAGGGAGCTGGGAAATAAATAGAGATAGGATGTGTAGGGCTGGAGAAGGCAAGTGGGATGGCGATAGATGAGCGCAGCTGGTGAGTAATAGGAATTGCTCGGTGGGATGTGTGGGGCGGATAGGTGGGAGAGAAGATGGGCAGGTTGTGTCAAGTCAGGTAGGCGGGGATCGTCCCTATCCTGCACTCATCTATCACCATCCCACCTGCCTTCCCCAGCCCCACCCCTCCTTGCTCTATTTATTTCCCAGCTCCCTTCCACCTCCCCACGAACGAAAAAGGGTCCCGACCCGAAACGTCAACTTTCCCAGCTCCTCTGACGCTGCCGTGTTCCTCCAGCTCCACACTGCGTAGTCTCAGACGTTACCTGCCGAAGGAGCGGCGCTTCTGAAGCTTGTGATTTGAAATAAACCGATTGGACTATCTTAAATTACACAGATGATCTCTGAATCCGAAGTGACTGCTGACTATTCACTGTTATGGATATGCCACTAAACCACCTGAGCTACGATAATACTTCCTTTATATGAAGGTATTTCACTCAACCCCACTCTCCATTGCTTGGAAAACCCGGTGTCTGGCGGCTTCTGGCTTTCTACAACCAATTGGAATTAAGGGGGCGGGGCAAGAAGGACGGCACGTGATCATTAACGCTGCCAGCTCAGTGACGCTGTGATTGGCTGTTCAGTGAGTGCGGCTGGTGGAGACGGGAGACGGGGAGAATCAGAAGACACCGGGAGAAAAATGGAGTTAGTCTGGGCTGCAAGGTTTTATGAATGCCCGGTGTAGGCCGCTTGATCCGAATTAGAAACTCCCGGTCCCGCGTTTACAGCAAACTGGAAACGGCTGCGGGCCTCAAGTGGTGATCGGCCCCGATTTAACTCCGCCATCTTTATTTGGGAACAAGGTGCAGCAGCGCTCATGCGCATGCCTTTCCACGTTGTGAGTGGCGTGTTTTGAAGAATGACATTTGCACAGCAAACTGAAACCAAGAGAAATGTTTGTCTTTTCTCGATTTTTATCCTGGCTGACAGTGATTTTTCTTTTGTGAATTCGTTGTGCAGGTTATTGATCGGGAACAATTTGTAGATCGGAATATCAAAACAAGTTCTGATTGCCAGCGGAGTCATCAAGATCTGAATATCACTAGTCTTTATCTGTGGAAGGAAAAAGGTTTGTCTGTTCGATCTGTGGGAAAATATTTCTGATATCTTTGTAATTTGGAAAGCAGCAAGATTTTCAAATTCGTGGTTAGATCACTCCTGGCGTATGTTTTCAGTTCTGGGCCCTGCAACTGAGGAAAGAGATATTGGCCTGAAAGGGTCTCAGATTTATCCAAAGAATGCCTCATTTCTTTCTGTCAAATTTCGTCCCAATCATCCACTTCATAATTTTAACCTATTAATTCCTCATTCTGAAATACCTGCAAACTTCTTTTTTAAAATTCCTTCTTGACTCAATGTTCTCGCACCCTTTCAGGTGGAACAAGCCAGATCCTTGAGTCCAGAACACTTATAGAATGCTGAATTTAAAGATGAGATGCTGTTCTCTGAGTACCGATTGAGCTGCATTGGAACAGTACAGGATGCTGAGTTCAGAGTGAGTGTGAACAGTCAATTAAAATGACCAGGCTGCAGTGAGGGTGCTGCTTGACTCCGAGTGCTTTGGAGTTGAGTGAAAACATAGTGAGGTGAGACATGGAGAAGGTAAAGTTGAAAGACTGAATACAGTGCTCTGTCTCAGTCTGGGCAGTTCAGAAAATGACACAGACCCAGTTGAAAAATTCGTAAGTGATACTTGCAGTGTATTTTCTTACAGTTTTTGAAGTGTAATATATCAACTAAAGTACACATAGGAGCTTTTGATCACAATAGAAGTGTTTGAAACGAAGGAAGATCCCTGGCTCAATTAAATTCTTTTAAAGGGAAAACAAGCTTAATTTAGTGAGAAGTCATGACAGGAGACCCTAGACCCCTGGTGTGCTCCTCTTGCACACTGTGGGAAATAAGGGATTCTTCCAGTGTTCCTGATGTCTACGTGTTCAGGAAGTGTGTCCATCCGCAGCTACTGGCTAGCTGCATTTCAGAGCTAAAGCTGTGGGTGGAATCACTGTGGAGCATCTGTGATACTGAGAATGTCGTTGACAGCATATATAGTGAGGTGGTCAAACCGCAGGTGAGAATTACACAGGTAGAAAGGGAATGGGTAACCATCAGACAAAGTAAAAGGCTCAGGAAGGAAGAAATATATACCGCTTTGGATACTTGGGATGGTCAGGGCTGGCCTCATGGAAAATCAGCAACAGTCAAGTTCATGGAAAAATGGCTGGCTCTGCTGCACAGAATGGGATGAAAACGAATGGCAGGCTTTAGTGACAGAGGATTCAACTATCAAGGGTACCGACAGGCACTGATGTGGCCATAGACATGAATCCAAGATGGTATGTGACCTGCCTCATGCCAGGATCAAAGATAGCATGGAGCAGCTGCAGGACATTCTGGAGCTGGAGGGTGAACTGCCAGTGGTTGTGGAACACATAGGTACCAATGACATAGCCTTGAATGATCATTGAAAACACTTCAAGGTTGCAATGGTTCCTGCACCTGACACCATTTCAGATGCTGCCAGACCCTGCTGAGTACCTCTGGCATTTTTTGTTTTTATATCAGATTTCCAACAGTTTGTTTAATCACTGAATCATGGATATATACAACATGGAAATAGATCCTTCGGTCCAACTTGGTCATGCTGACCATATATTCTAAACTGATCTCACCCTATTTTCCAGCAAATCCCTCTTAAACCTTCCTGTTCATGTATCCATCCAAATGTCTTTTAAATGTTGTAACTATATCAGCCTCCACCACCAACTCTGACAGCATATTTCATACGTGTACCATCTTCTGTGCAAAAACACTGCGCCTGAGGTCCCTTTGAAATCTTTGTCCCCTTACCTTAAACCTATACCCTGAAGTTTGGGACTTCCCTACCCTAGGAAAAAGCCCTTGGCTATTCAACCTATCCATCTCCGTCTGATTTTTTAAACCTCTAAGTGGTCTCCCCTCAGCCTCTGATGCTACAGGCAATAAAGCCCCAGCCTACTCAGCCTCTCCTTATAACTCAAACTCTCCGAATACATCAACAAGCTTGTAAATCTTTTCTCAACTTTTTTTCAAATTTAACAACAGCTCTGCTATAGCAAGGAGACCAGAATTGAACACAGTATTCCTAAATTCGTTGAACAAATGTCCTATACAGCCGCAATGGGACTTCCCACCTCCTATATTCAGTGCACTGACAGATAAAGGCAAGCATGCCAAATGCCTTCTTCACCATCCTGTCTACCCGCAACTCCACTGTCAAGGAACTATACACTTGTTGTTAACCCTTCAGAAGGATTGAAGACTGTGGGAAGAAAACAGGAACTGGATTGAGTTGTAGTTCCATAAAATGCCTCTGCTTCATGTCTGTCTCTCCCACCTCTGTATTTTCTGTAGTTTTGTGCAAATACTGACTGGTTCACTTCTGTGAAGGACATTTATGAACCTGTTTGTTTTAAATAATAATCGAGCAATTTCCCTGAGTGTCATCTCCACAACTGACCAGATTAATTGCTCTCAGTTTTACAACCCATGTTTTCTTCTGGTTTTTTCCAATATATTTGCTTCCTATTTGAAAGGCTATTTTACAATTGGAAACTTAAAATGAAACCACATCCAGATCTGACAGTTACTCTGTTTATCATAACC